TCAGGACACCTGTGCTGGGCTCACGTGCTTCATCCCCGCTCTGTGCAGCCTCTGCTGGTCCTCTGTCTGGGCATAGATTCATAGCATCATAAAACAGTTTGGGTCGGAAAGGACCTTAAGGTCATTGAGTTCCAACCCCTGCCACGGGCAGGAACACCTTCCAGTAGAGCAGCTTGCTCCAAGCCCTGTCCAACCTGGCCTTGAACACTGCCAGGGATGGGGCAGCCACAGCTTCTCTGGGCACCCTGTGCCACTATTTTAGGAATCTCATTGTAAAAAAAATTTTCCTGATGTCGAACCTGACCCTCCCCTCTTTATTTTAAACCCGTTACCCCTCGTCCCATTGCAACAGGCCCTAATAAAATGTCTCTCCCCATCTTTCTTACAGGCTCCTTTTAAGACTTGAAAGGCTGCAGTAAGTTGTCCTTGGAGTCCCCCCTTCTCCAGGCTGAACAACCTGGATAAGATGAGTGGTAATGGATTTAAACTGAAGGTGGGGGATTGAGTATAAGGAAGAAGTTCTTCCTTGAGAGGGTGATGAGACAGTGGTTGCCAAGAGAACTTGTGGCTGCCCCATCCCTCGCAGTGCTCAAGGCCAGTGAAAGAGCCCTGTTTAAACCACAACACCACCTTTTGTCGCCCAGTGTGGGGAACAAAGGGTGGAGATAATGACGGATGTGACCAGAACGTGATATCATTTTGTTGTACTTGGTACTGCCTGGTTATGATAGGATCGATGTGGTCATGAGATTGAGCTGGCGTGTGCTCCCGGTCACCTTTGTCCCTCGGGAGCCATCTCCTGGGAGCTATTCACAATTACACCTTTGGCCTTTACTCCGCAGAAAGAGCCAACCGGTGGCACAAACACCTTCCGTCCTTCCTTCCTTCCTCCCCTCTTCCCTTCCAGGATCCCCCTTCTCCTCCAGGATAGTCACAGTACTATCTGAGAATTGTAAAGATTTTGAATACCCTTTGAATACCCTTGAAAGCTGCCTGGTTCTTCTGCTGGGAACCAGGTGACAAAGGATGGGGTCAGAGGACAGGGGATGGTGGACAAAGGACGGGGAAAGAGGACAAGGGACGGGGAAGAGGGGACAAGGAGGAGAGGAAAAGGAACGTGGCACAGGGGACGGCACCGTGTGCCGGCTGACAGCAGAGCTGCCCTTGGGCTGTCCCCTGTGCTGTCGCTCTTCCCAGTGGCATCGTGAGCCGCAGGAGCTGTGCCGGGAGCGGTGACGTCGGGGCGGGGGACACAGGACATCCTGTGCCCCCCCACCCCACCCAGGGTTTCCTGGCACGGGTGGGACGGGTGCGATGGCTCCCGGTGACCTTCACCGGGTGGGGAACCAGCGTCCGCTCCCGGGAAGGTCTCATCCCCTGCAGGATTCTAACCCGGGGTGTGGGGGGGCAATTCTGGGAGGTCCCATCCCATGGGGGTCCAGTCCTCAGGGGTCGCATCCCGGGATTCCCACCCAATAGCGGCTCCTAACTTGGGGGTCCCATCCCGTGGGGGGGTCCCACCCCCGGAGGACCCATCACAAAGGCTTCATCCGGGAGTCGGGGTGGGGGGGTCCCTACCCCGGGGGGCAGCCCCATGGGTCGGACACAATTGGGGGGGTGAGGGGGGGCGTGTCGCGTGCCAGCGCGCATGCTCCTCCATCCTCCCCTCCCGCCGTGCACGCGCAGGTGTGGCCACGCCCCCCCCACCCCTCCTCTCTCGCGCACGCGCGCTGCAGCCCCCCCCCCCCTTCCCGCAGGTACCCGCCGGTGCCGGGGGGGGTGCGCGGGCTCTTTAAGGGGAGCGCCCGGAAGGGAGCGCGCCCCGCCCGGCCCCGCCCCGCAGCGCACCGGCCCCGGGGGGGGGGGGCGCGGTCGGTGGTGGCTGCGGGAGCCGGGTGCGGGACATGGCGCGGGGCCGCCGGGCGCTGCCGGCGCCGGGGCCGCGGCTGCTGCCGGTGCTGGGCGCGCTGCTGGGCGCCGCCGCCGCTTTCAACGTGGACCGCGCCTTCCCGGTGCTCAAGGAGGGCGCGACCCCCGGCGGCTTCTTCGGCTTCTCGGTAGCGCTGCACCGGCAGACGGAGCGGCCCGAGCGGAGCCTGTGAGTGCGGGGCGCGGGCTGCGGGAGCGGAGTCACCGGGCTTAGCGGGGAGCGATGCGGGAGGTGTGCGGGGAAAGGGTCCGTGGGGTAGAGCGAAGGTCCCGGGGTGGGGGGAAGCGGGGAGGAGGAGCGGGAGGGGCTTCGAGCGCGGACAGAGGGGGTTCCCGGGGCTGGCGGGCACCGGAGGTGCTGTTAAATCGTTCCTTGGGCGTTTATCGCCTGCCCGGACTTTGGTTTGCATCCTGCATAGGACGGGGTCCCCTGGGGTTTCCCTCCACCCTCAACCACAGGGATACCGGAGCCCCCACCGCAACCCCGCGCTGACCCGGGGCAGGAGCCCCGCAGCAGCCCCGGGACGTGGGAACCATCCGGTACCCGGCAGCGAGGTCCCGGTTCGGCATCCCCCGATCTGATGCCACCCGGAGCGGTCGCGTCCCCCCCCCCCGAAACTCAGGTCGCTGCTGGCCCTGGGGAAGTTGTTGAACTGTAATTCCTGCTGCCCCACAAAAGCGCTTTCAGCAGGCACATCCCCAGTGCGATCCCACCGCCAGCACTTGCCGTGTCCCCTCCTGTCCCCGCCCTTCTCAGCCGAACCCCTCGGGGCAGCATTCCCGGCTCCCGTCCCTCATGGCTGAAGGTGCGAGTTGCGTGTTCGTGCCAAAGTGAAGAAGGCGGCGGGGCTGGGTTGGGCTCTTCTCGCTCGAGGGCACAGGGTTTTGCTGGCTCACCCGCCCGACGTGGAGCTCCCGGAGGGCTCCCTTTTTCCCTTCACCCCCGCCTTTTTTCCCTTTCGTTTTTCCCGCCGTGTTCCTGGCAGAGGGACTGGCAGCAGCTGCCGGACGGAGGCATCTGATGCTCCGCATTCCAGAGATGCATTTCAGCCGCTCGCCCTGCCGTGGGATGTCTTGTTGTTGCTTCCATCCAGGAGGGAGTGCAGCCATTCCCCGTGGAGCAGCAGTGGGCCCAGTGACCTGGGGAGCCCACGCTTCCACCAGGACATGCTGGCTGCCATCCATGGCTGGGTTCCCTGGCTCTGGTGCCATCAGAGCAGCTGGAGGGGGGACACAAGATGTCGTGGTCCTGGCTGGTGTCTATCTTCTCAAGACGTTGGCAATGGCTGTTGCTGTCTTGGAATGGATATGGGGGGGCTTTGGCAGGCGTTTGCGATCCACCGGCATGGGCCACGTGGCCCAAGCGTGTCTGAGCATGATGCTGGCGGGACGTGGAGGCTCTGGGAGAAGGCTTTGGAGTGTGAAACCCCCGGGGGATTCACATCCCCTTCCTCTGGGAGCCCCCGCTGCTTGTCCCCATGGAGGACATGGAGGGCCTGCAGGGTGCCAGGCCCATTGCTGCTTCCCCCTGGGGCCCTGCATGTGGGCAGCAGCCCTGGGGGACTGTGCAGGCAGCTCTGCCTGTGTGGCGTGGGCAGGAGGGGCCAGGGCGAGTGCAGGCAGCTCCTGCCTAAACCTGGCTCGCGCTGCGGCACGTCCGGGGAGGCACCTGCCTGTTGTGGAAGTGGCAGGAGGGAGATACCGGCATCAGTGTCCTGATGGCCAGGGTTGCACGGGGCTTGGAGCAACCTGTGCTAGTGGAAGGTGTCTCTGCCCGTGGCAGGGGTTGGAACTGGATGAGCTTTAAGGTCCCTTCTATAGGGACATTAAGCATTCCAACCCAAACCATTCCATGGCCATCCAGCTGCTGTCCTTCAAGCTGAGGAGCTTCTTCCCCTAGTGCTGGTCAGCATCTTCCCCTGCCCATCCCTCGGCTATCGCAGGTGCAGCGTGGCCACAGCCAGGGTGGGGACAGGAAAGTGACGCTTCCTTCCCCCCATCCCAGATGGGGGATGCAGGCAGGGAGTTGCCCCATGTTTTTTGGGGGGAGGCTCGATGTCTCGTTGCTGCAAGGTGGCTGCCAGAGGTGTTGGGATGGCAGTGTGGAATGGAGGGATGCTCAGAGCACATTCCTGAGCTCCTGAGGAGAGCCGGTTCCTGGCTGGGTGCTGGCAGGGGGCCAGGCTGTGTCCTGTGACAAGGTTCCCCCCCCCACCCCCTCTGGTGTTTTCCATGTCCCAGGGCTGTGCCCATGCAAAGGTCTGTTTGCTCGCTCCTCCCCAGGCCAGGGGAAGGCAAGGTGGGACCAGTGGCGTTATCTGCTGCCCCGAGATTAAGAAACTCCTTTGGCTGCTGGTGCCGGATCTAGCTGCTTCTTGGTTTGGCTTGTGTTTGTGCCGGCAGAACCCCATACTGCCCTGGGGATCTGACCCACGGGGGTCCTATAACACCATGAGGAAACTGAGGCACGGTGCATCTGTGCCAGGGAGGCAGGCACAGATGTGGTGGCACCCATGTGGGCGGTGTACTGCATGCCTCAGTTTCCCTCCTGTGTTCAGGGGAGCAGGGGCTCTGCCCAATGCTTGGGGTCTTTCTGGTCCCATCTGGCTGGCGGGGAGGAGCAGAGCAGCTGAGTTCCTGGCTTTCCCTCCCCCTTGCCTGGTTTGCTGCCGATGCTGGGGCTGGCTTGGCTGCGCTCCCCCCAGCTTGGCTGGGCTCCTTGGCAGGCGCAGGGGGGACGGATATGCTGCAGCGGGGCTGGCGCCCAGGGGGTCATCCATCCATCCATCCATCCATCCCTCCCACCATCCCTCACTGCCTCCAGGAGCAGTCTCCCCCTCTCCCGCCTCCTTTCCGGCAGGGGCATCAGCAGATTTCCCTGCTTAGGGCTCCCGGGGGAAAAAATCATTCCAGGGCAAATGTAGTGGCACTGGGGGGGTTGGTTGGGGCTGGCCTGGAGCTTTGGAGGAGGGTTATGTCAGGAACACCCTCTGGCTGCCTGTCTTCGGGGGTGCTTGAGGCCCAGTCGAAGAGCTGAGCTCTGGAGCATCACTGCCAAACCATCCCGCAGCTCCCCCAGCTCAGTCAGCACCAGCGGGGAGCACCCACACCACCATCATCCCATGTTCCCTGCTTTACCAGGGCAGATTAGGACGGGGCACGGCCTTGCATTCCTGCCTCCCTCCCTTCCCGACCTCCCCTTCGTGCTGCTGTTTGTCCATCGCTGCCTTTGCTCTGCACTCCGAGCCCAGTCCCTGGGCTGAGCCCCGTCTCCTCATTTTACCCCCCACCTCCCATCCGTGCGGCACAAGCTGGTCCAGGCCTCCCTGCGATGGCAGCCCCAGCATCCCGGCTTCTGGTTTTCCTGCATCTCCACATGGCAGCTTGGGGCATGCACGGAGTGGGGGATGCCTGTGCGTGTCCCAGCCCTGCTCTTGTGAGGTTTGGAAGCCCCCAGCATCCTGCCCCTCTGGGAGCAGAGCCTGCGGGTGGGCTGCCGTGCCGGGAAGTCTTGGCTGGAGGCAGCAAGATGCTGGAGCCGCTTGGCCTGGGTCTGCTCCCACCCCCCAGGATCAGTGGGGCACAGCCATGGGGAGGGGTGGTGCCTGAGAATGGTCCAGCAGAGCCAGGACCACCGGGGGAGCCCCTGGCAAAGGGCTGAGTGTGTGTTCCTGTGCCCAGGAGCCACGGTGATGGTGGGGCAGAAGGGGGCAGGACAACACCACCACCACCACCCCCCCTAAGCTTCTCCCTTCAGCCCTGAGTCACTTCCCCCTGGATAAATGGGGACAAGAGTGACCTTTGTGTGTCATCCCCCCCATCCCTCAGGTGTCTGGGAGGGGGGTCAGGAATTACGGGAGCAGTTCCTTTGTGCCAGGCTGAAAAGAGGAGGACTCATGACCCTCCATGCCCCTGCCTTCACACCCAGTGGGATATGAATCCTGCTGGCATCCCCAGCCCAGCATTCCCAGGGGGAGCAGACATCCCCCATTGCACCCCTTGGGGGGGGCTCTTCTGCGGCTGCATCCCACCTGCAGTGTGCAGTGGTGCCGGAGCGATGCTGCCTGCGGTGCCTGTCACCGTGGCGTGCCGGGGCGGGGGCTGCCTGGGGCCCCACATTCCTCCTGCGCCTGGGCTTTGACTCAGCCGCTTCGACGCTGCCCGGACGCGCCCGCGCTCCCATCGCCCGGCCCTGCCTCCCGGTGACAGCCGGGATCGCTCCTGTCCTTGCCGGTGTGCGAGGTGAGGACCGGCCGGCTCATCACCCTGCTGCCCTGCGGTGAGGCTGCGGCAGCTCCCTGGGTGCCTTGTCCCTGCCTGCGGAGGGACGCGCTTCCTCTGCTGGCATCACGCAGCTGTGCCTCCTCCACGCCATTGTCCTCGCCATCCCAAAGGAATTCCCTGCGGAAAGGCTGGCCTTTCCGGAGCCCCCCGGGCACGCCGGGTCCCCCAGCCCCATGGCAGGGCTGTGGATCTTCTGCCCTAGTGCTACCAGCGGTCCCCAGCTTCTTCCCTTGGGGTGTGTGGGGGGGTCCCTTCAGCATCACCTTGAAGCCCCCAGTGATGAGTTCATACGGAGCTGGGCTGAGGGTGTTGGTTTCCAGCCCGGGCATCCCTCCATGGAGGGTGATGTACCACCCCTGCGTGGCACTTCCATGACTCAGCTGAGATGCCTGTGCCACTCCAGGGCCCTTAGTCACCCCCGGAAGGGCGCTGTCGTCCCCCCTCCCCGGGACCCCCTCTGCTGCCTGGATGCGTCGAGACAAGCCCAGACCCATCCTGGGAAGCGGGATGCATGTGCTGCGCTGCCCGGAGCCGGTCCCCAAGCTGGGACCCCCGCGGCATTCCCACAGCATTCCCTGGCGCGGCAGCAGGAGCTTGTCTGCCGGACACGCAGCAGCTGCTCAAAGGTTGGCCGGGAAGGGCCATGGCTGTTTACACAGGCGCGGGGGCCCCGGCGCTGGCGCGGCCGTGTCGTGCCGAGCGGCTCCGGTGCTAGGTTTGCAGGCACCAGCCTGAACCCCTGTTCTTGCACCCCACACCATGCGCTGGGATGGGGGGCTCAGCCGTGAGTGTGTGCTGGGATCGGGTCCAGCAATCACAAGGCGATGAGTGGGTCCATCAGTCTGTCGCCCACCTCGTCCTGCGTGACCTTTCACTGTCGCTGGGGGTGACAGGCTGGTTGCTGCCAGCCCTGTACATGCCCATCCAAGGGGAACCCCCTTTCCTGGTCTGGAGGTGGGGCTGGGGGTCTGCCCCCTGTTCTTTGGGGGTATTGAGGTGTGACATGCTCTGGGGAAGCAGCTCTCATCCCCTTCGAGCACCTCCAGGCCACATTCATACCCCATTGCCCTCTCCATGGGGCACCCCCAGTATGAGGCATCAGGGTGGGTCCTCCATCACCCACCCACTCCCTTCTCTCTGCCCCCCCCAGGCTGCTGGTGGGGGCCCCCCGAGACATGGAGCCAGTGAACGGCACACGGACGGGTGCTGTCTACGCCTGTCCCCTTACCGCATCCACCGGTGACTGCCAGCGCCTTGACATTGAGCTGAAGAGTATGTGGGCACACCAAAACATCCCCTGGCACTTGGGGGCTCTGCATGGTGGGTGACCCTCTTACGTTGCCTCTTCCCTGCCCAGATGAGCCGGAGAAGGCCATCATCGATGACATGTGGCTGGGGGTGACAGTGGCCAGCCAGCGGCAGCCGGCGGGGAGGGTGCTGGTGAGTGCACGGGCGCCCTGGTTCTTCACACACGCGCGTGTGCTGGTGCGCGCTGGCACCTTGCACATCCCCAGGGAGCCACCGCTGCTTTCACACGGGCCTTGCATGTGTGCTCAGCGTGGTAATGGCAGGTGAGGGCTCCACTGCCACCTCCCTGTCCCCGTGGGTCAGGACTATGGGGTGATTGGACCCTAATCCCAGTCACGTGCACTGGTGCCAGTGCACAGGATGGTGATGTACCCTATGGGCTATCGTGGCAGGATAAGGCCGTGGCGCAGGGGCTGGGCAGAGGCAGCCCAAGGGGTGGTGGGGGACATAGCCCCTTGGTTTTGGGGTGCTGCAGGCGGTGCTGGCTGTCCCCGCAGGCCTGCGCTCACCGCTACACCAAAGTGCTGTGGTCGGGCAGCGAGGACCAGCGGCGCATGGTGGGCAAGTGCTACGTGCGGGGCAATGACCTGCGCCTCAACATCAGCGACGAGTGGCAGACCTACCACAACGAGATGTGCAACTCCAACACGGACACCGACGAGACCGGCATGTGCCAGATGGGCACCAGCGCCGGCTTCACCGCCAACATCATCTATTTTGGAGCACCCGGTGCATACAACTGGCAAGGTGCGCCAGGGGGTGGGCAGCCCCTTCCGCGGGAATGCCTGTTCCCACCGTGGTTATATCCCCTCTGCATGCAAGGGCATGCTCTGCGTGTTCATGTGTGTTCATGTGCCCACATGTGCATGGTGCGCTAAGCATGTCGTGTGTGCACCTCGCCGTGTGCTTATCTATGCGCCCATGCAAACCCCGTGCACATGTATGTGGGCACGTGTGCGTTCACACGCGCTGCAGGCATGAAAGGGGTGCAGGTGCTGAGCTAGGGGTGAAGGGCAGCTCTCCGCTGTGGGGTTAACCCCCCCTCCGCTGTTGCAGGTACTGACTACATGCTGCAGCGGGAGATGTGGGACCTGCATGACTTCTCCTACCCCAACAAGAAGAACGGCAACACCTACATAGGTGGGGGGCAGTAGGTTAGGGGGGGCTTCCCCCTCGGGGGGATTTGGGGTGAGGAGGAGGTTTAGGGGATGTGGATTTAGGGGGAGTATTAGGGGTGGGTGTTCAAGGGCTGTGGAGTGCAGGGAGGCTTGGAGACCCCCTGGGGATGTGAGCAGGGGTGCAGTGGGGACGCTGCGGTGGTCAAGGGGGTGGAGGGTGTTGTGGTGGGGGACATGGGGTCTGGGCCTGTCGGGGGGTCCCCATCTCACGGGCAGGGTTTGGTGGCAGGGTACACGGCAGAGGTGGGCAGCGCGGTGCTGCAGCAGGATGCGGTGACGGTGGTGACGGGCGCTCCCCGGTACAAGCACATGGGCGCTGTGTACCTGCTGAGCCGCAGTCCCCAGCAGACGCTGCAGAGGAGCCTCCTCCTCCCCGGGCACCAGGTCGGCTCCTACTTCGGCAGCGCCGTGGCCCTGGCAGACCTCAACAATGACGGGTGAGGGCAGGGGGCCAGGACCCGCCAGCTCCTTGGGATGGGGGGGGGGGGGGTCTTGCCTGGGGCAGCCTGCGGCTCACAGTGGGGTCTGTGTGGGTCTTAGGGTGGGTTAGAGTAGGTTAAGGAAGGGGTTTCTGTCCCTCGCTGTGCTGTGGGGAGAACCCCCCTGCGGTCCAGATCCAGCTCTGGGGCAGCAGCACAAGAGGGACGTGGAGCTGCTGGAGCGAGGCCAGAGGAGGCCATGGGGATGCTGCGAGGGCTGGAGCAGCTCTGCTCTGGAGCCAGGCTGAGAGAGCTGGGCTGGGGCAGCCTGCAGAAGAGAAGGCTCCTGAAGGGGAGACCTGAGAGCAGCTCCAGTGCCTGAAGGGGCTGCAGGAAACCTGGAGAGGGGCTTGGGACAAGGGATGTAGGGACAGGCCAAGGGGAATGGCTTTAACCTGCCCGAGGGGAGACTGAGATGAGCTCTTAGGCAGAAGCTCTTCCCTGTGAAGGTGCTGAGGCGCTGGCACAGGGTGCCCAGAGAAGCTGTGGCTGCCCCATCCCTGGCAGTGTTCAAGGCCAGGTTGGACACAGGGGCTTGGAGCAAGCTGCTCCAGTGGAAGGGGTCCCTGCCCGTGGCAGGGGTTGGAGCTGGAGGAGCTTTATGTTCCCTGCCAACCTAAACATGCACAGCTCTGGTGGTGGTGATGGGGGGTTATGAGGGGAGGAATCCTCTTCTGGCTCTGAGGGGTCTCCACCTTCTCTGGTGTCTCGGTGGGGTTGTGCTGCAGCCCCAGCCCTGACCGGCCCCTCGGTCCCGCAGGTGGCAGGACCTGGTGGTGGGAGCTCCCTACTACTTCCAGCGGAAGCAGGAGGTGGGGGGAGCCGTGTACGTGTACATGAACGAGGTGGGGGGGTTCCAGCCCCACCCCAACCTGGTCCTCACCGGCCCCAGCTACTCCGGTTTCGGCTTCGCCGTGGCCAGCATCGGGGACATCAACCAGGACGGCTTCCAGGGTGAGGGCTCTGGGGGGCGGTGGGGGGGAGCCTGGTGGGGGTCTTCATGTAAGAGGGGATCCTGCGTGAGGGGATGTGGTGCCTCTGGAGAGGTTTGGGGTGAAGAGAGGGAGATGAGGGGTATCTTGATGTGTTCAAGGACGAGAGGGGCTGGGTTGAGGTTGGGGGGTGGGATTGGAGAGGAGATGAGGAGGTGTGTGGGGCTGACCCTGCTCTTCTCCCCACAGATATCGCTGTGGGGGCCCCATTCGAGGGGCCTGGCAAGGTTTACATTTACCACAGCAGTGCAGAAGGGCTGCTGGAGAAACCTCGGCAGGTAATGGCCCATGGGGAGCCCATCACCGGGGCTCTGGATCCCGTCCGAGGATCCCATGCTGTGGGGTGGGCTGCAATGAGTAGATCCCCGGCTCCATGGGGTTGGTGAGCAATGGGTGACCCCCGTGCCCCAAATGCAGGTGATCAGTGGGTCAGACCTGGGGCCCGCCAGCATGCAGACCTTTGGGTACTCGCTGAGCGGGGGGCTGGACGTGGATGGGAACTCCTACCCTGACCTGCTGGTGGGCAGCTTGGCCGAGAGGATCGTGCTGCTCAGGTAAGGGAGCAGGGACATGGGTGTCCTGCAGCCCCCTGCGCGCCCCAGCACCCGCAGGGGTGGTTCTGGGGCATCAAGGTGGGCATGAAGCAATGTGCCAGGGCAGGGGGGGGGCTCGGCTGAACCCCATCTCTGCCCAGAGCTCGGCCCGTGATCAACATCCTCAACAAGACCTTCACGGTGACCCCCAGCAAGGTGGATCCTGCCCAGTGCACACCGGAGTCATGGTGAGCCCCATCCCTCACCACGGTGGGGTCCTGCTGGGGGCCCGGCTTCACTCACAGCCCCTCTCTGCCCCCACCAGCATCACGGTAACCGTCTGCTTCTCCTACAACCAGAGTGCTGGGGATCCCCACTACAAGGAGAAGATCAGTGAGTGCCCGGGGTGCAGGCCTGAGTGCTGTGCATGGAGGGATGGTCAGCACTGGTGCAAGGGAGCGTGCACACATGGGCACACGTGCACATGGGGTTGTGTGTGTTGGAGGCACACGTGCATGCAGCACCCGCAGCACCCTGCTCTCCCCACAGCCCTGGAGTACACCCTGGAGGCTGACAAGGACCGGCACCCACCCAGGGTCAGGTTTTTGGGGACCCACTCTGCCACCTACCCCGGCCTCTTCACCATGCCCGAGACCCGCTGTGAATCCAAGGAGCTCCTGCTGCTGGTGAGCATGCACATGTGTGTGCACACTTGTGTGTGTGTGTGTGTGCATGGCAGGTTGCTCTACACGTGCCACTGGAGCTGGGGAACCGGCTTCCAGGAGATGGGGAGAGGGATCATGGAATCCCAGACTGGTTTGGGTTGGAAAGGGCCCTAAAGCTCAGCCTGTTCCAGCCGCCTGCCACAGGCAGGGACACCTTCCACTGACCAGGTTGCTCTAAGCTCTGTCCAGCCTGGCGTCGGTGGGGTGTGGAGGGTCCTGGGAACATCAGGGCCAGGAAAAGAGGTAGAAATCATCCCTCCTATGATGAGTTTGTTTGGTATCAGGAGTGGGGTGTGAGTAGGAGCTGGTGCCCCAGACGTGGCCAGGGAGCTGGGGCTTTGCTGTGACTGCTGCCACCCTGCAGGACAACATCCGAGACAAGCTGCACCCCATCATGCTCTCCATGAACTACTCTCTGGTGGAGAAGCCCAGGACCTTCCAGCTGGGTCCCCTGTCCCTCGACACCTTCCCCGTCCTCAACCAGGACCAGTCCCACGAGAATGAGACCAAGGTGCTGGGGGAGGGCTGGAGGTGCTGGGCTGGGAGCCTCGGTGAGCCCAGCCTGGGGCTCCATGGAGGCTCATGGGGACATCCCCGTCCCTCCAGATCGAGTTCCAGAAGGAGTGTGGCTCTGACAACAAGTGCTACAGCAACCTCCAGCTCCAGAGCAGCTTCGTCACTGACCAGAACCAGCCCCTGCCCAGGTGAGGGCAGCTCTTTCTGGGACCCCATCAACCTCCACCACCCTCTGTGCCGTCCCCGTGGGCACAGGCTACGCCTCAGCCCTCCCCGGGCCATGCCAAAGGAACGGGACAGAGGTGTCTCCATCCCACTGGGATGGGCCACCCGTGTGCTGAGCAGGGCCGGTCTCTGCGCAGGCTGAATGGAACCCAGGTGCTGCAGTACAGCCGGGACGTGCGGAAGCTCCACCTGAGCATCAACATCACCAACGTGCCCACCAGCCCCGCCAACGGCGAGGACGCCCACGAGGCGCTGCTCAACGTCACGGTGCCCTCCAGCCTGCTGCCCTCCTCCGTGCGCCCGGTACGCGGCCCCCTCCCTGCTGGAGAGGGTGCAGGACCAGGGTGGGCTTTGCTGGGATGTTCCTCACCCTCTTCCCTTCCCCAGAGCGGAGCCTGTACCTTTGCAGAGACGGTGTTGTGCGAGCTGGGCAACCCTTTCAAGAGGAACCAGAGGGTGAGTGCCCCCCCTCAACGACCCCCGGCTCTTCTCGGGGTCTTACAGGCTGGTGGGGGCCCAGCTGAGCTGCTCCACGGTCCTTCTGTGCTGCAGGCAGAGCTGATCATCACCTTTGAGGCCATTGGGATCATGCTGGATACATGGGAGATCTTGGTCTGGCTGGATCTGTCTACGTGAGTGACCCTGGGTGGGTGGGAATGGACTGGGAAGAGGGTCCCTGGAGTGATGCTGGCTCCTCTTGCTTGGTGCAAGCACAGTGGTGGTGGATTGGGATCATATCCAGCGGTGTTGCTGGTTGGGAAGGATGGGAGGGCACGCTGGGCTCCTGGGGTGGGCAGGACGGGCACTCACTGCTCCTGCTGGGAGGGTGGGAGCTGCCCCATGCTGCCTGGGGGCCGTTTGGTGGTGGGAGATGCTGACCTCAGTGCCTTGGCAGGCAGAGCACCCAGGAGGACCTGCAGCCTGTGCTGGCCAGGCTGCTCGTGGACTACAGCATCCAGTCCTCACTGACCATGTGAGTGCAGCAAGGCCGTGTCCCCCCTCTCCGCATCCCCTCCATCACCCACCGGAATATGGGGGGCGGGCACAGCCCCTGGTGCCCCACAGACGGGTGCCCAGAGACGCTCCATCCCCAGATCCCCATCGCACGTGCAGTCGCACTTCAGTGGGTCGGTGCTGGGCGAGTCAGCCATGCGGGGGGAGCAGGACGTGGGCAGCCCCCTTGCCTTCGACTTCCAGGTGAGTTGGGGGGTGGCCAGCACATGGGGGGGGTTGTCAGACTTGGGCTCATCCTTAGCTCTGCTCTGCAGGTGAGCACCAAGGGCGAGTCACTGGGTGCCCTGGGCACCATCCTGCTGGGCTTCGAGTGGCCCTATGAGATCCCCAATGGGAAATGGCTCCTGTACCCCACTGAGATCCTCGTCAACAGCAACGAGACCTGCCAGCCCCCGGGGGGGGTCATCAACCCGCTGAACCTCACTGTGAGTGCCCGCTGCGGTGCAGGGTTGTGTCCCTGCCCCACTGCATGCGCAGAGCTGAGGATTCTGATGGCACTCATCTCCCCCCACAGCTCCTGCAGGACCAGGCTCCATCCCGGCAGAGGCGGCAGCTGGAGGCCTTTGACGCAGTGGAGCCCCCCATCACCCTGGCCACCGCCAAGAAAGCCAAGTCAGAGGTGTTGCTGGTGAGTGGGGGTCCAGCACTATGTGCCCCATGCCAGGACCACCGTGTACACTGATCCTTGGCACCAGTGTGGTGCACTGGGGACCCTGCTCACCCCTCTCAACCCTCCTCTTTACCTCCCAGAGCTGCTCCAAGGGCACAGCTCGCTGCGTGTGGTTCGAGTGCCCCCTGCTCCACACGCAGCACCCCACCACCTTCAGCATCCGCGCCCGGGTGTGGAACAGCACCTTCATTGAGGTCAGTGTGGGGTCCCCCTGGAGTCAGGGCTGTTCCCTTGGGGATGGTGCTCAAACAGGGCACCACATTTGCCAGGTCTCAGCTCAGATGCTAACACCCATCCCTTGCTCTCCCATCGTCTGTGTCACCCGTCCATCATGCATGTCACCCCCCATCATTGGGTTCCCCCCCATCATCTACGTATTTTCACCCCCTCTTCATCCGTGTCCCCCAGGAGTACAGGGACTTTGACCGGGTGAAGGTGGACGGCACAGCGACGCTCTTCCTGCGGACCCACGTGCCCACCATCAACATGAGGAACCACACGGTGCGGGTGAGCAATGCCAGAACCTCTTACTGGGACACACTGGGAGGGACTGGGGCCACTGGGAGCTCCTCCCCCAAAACAAGGCTCTTCTTGCCCCTTCCAGTTCTCGGTGGACGTGGACTCAGAGCTGATGGAGGAGCAGCCGGCTGAGATCGCGCTGTGGCTGGTGCTGGTGGCAGTGGCGGCCGGGCTGCTGCTGCTGGGGCTCATCATCCTCCTGCTCTGGAAGGTGAGGGGGTGTGGGAGCCATGCCTCAGCCTGACAGGCTCACATCACTGCTGGTGCCATTCTCCCCACCTGGCAAGCAGCGGGTGGAAGGTGCCGGGCTGCAGAGCCATGAGGAAGAGGAGCAGAGAAGCCCCCAGTGCAAAACGCTTTGGGAGCTGCCAAAGAACCCACCCAGAGCAGGGCTGGATGATGCCCTCCTTGCTGGGCGTCTCCAGCCCTATGGAGCTCTCTGGGGACCCCACTCTCTGCCCAGGAAGGGTTGGGGGGGGGGGCTGCAGGGCCACCCATGCTGCAGTGAGCATCACATTGGGGTGAGGGTGCAGTGGGTGCCCCCCCCAACCCTACAGGTTGGCCAGGAGCCCCCGTCCCCTCTCCCCTCACGCCCTGACCCCCATCCCCTCCTTCCCCACAGTGTGGTTTCTTCCGGCGCGCCAACACGCGGGCCATGTACGAAGCCAAGGGGCAGAAGGCGGAGATGAGGATCCAGCCGTCGGAAACCGAGCGGCTGACGGATGACTACTAACGGGGGGCAGCCCCACTGCCCCCCCCTGGGCGCCCACGCCACCCGCCTGGTAATGCCCCATGGGGGCCGGCTACAGCAGCAGCATCCTCCTCTTCAGCCTCTTCTCCTCTTCCTCATTGCCTTCTCTCTCCTGCCAGGTCCCATAGGGTCCCTGTGGGGCGCAGGGGGCTCCGTGGGGTCTCTCCGAGCAGCTCCAGGACTGCTGCTCCCTTTGTCTCTGCTCTTCACCAGCTCTGGGCTCTCTCCTTCACGCTCCAGTGTCACGCTGCAGCCCCACGCTGACCCTTCCAGCTCCACACTGACCATTTGTCCCCGTCCCCCCCCCACCCCTTTCTTCTCCCTGTCCCCACAGTGTGACTTCTTCCAGCGGACCCGCTACTACCGGATCATGCCCAAGTACCACGCGGTGAGGATCCGGCAGGAGCAGCGCTACCAGCCCGGCGGCCTCCTGCCCCGCCGGCGCAAGAAACACTGGGTGACCAAGTGGCAGGAGCCGGAGAAGTACTACTGACCCCCAGCCCCGTGCGAGGGGAGCACCAGGGCCGGTGTTTGACTTTGCACAAGTGCATCTCTCCCTGCCCCAACCCACACCTCCTGCCTCGGACGCGGCTGCATCCCGGCGCAGGCTTCCGCACGCTCCTGTCTGCTTCGCCGGTGTGCAGCTCAGCTCTTGCACACTCGTGCCTTGCACGCTTACGGGGATGAGCCCCAAACGTGCCCCCTGTGTTCCCTGACGTGGCTGCTGCTGGTCTCACCGAGTGCCTTCCCCCCGCGCAGACACTCCTCCCGCTGTGCTCCGCACACATTCTCACACGCCGGGGCACGCTCGGCCCCCCACCCTCTGCATCCCTCTTCCCCCTGGCTGGGTGCCTCCGCTAAGGCTGCATGTGCGGTTGGGGATGGTGGGAGCTCGTTCCTTCCCCTCCCTCCTCCAGAGCAGTGCAGGGGGCTGATTCTGCATGTTTACCCCCCCTCTCCAGCCTGCATCTGCTGCAGCTTTGCCTTGGCAGAGGGAGTGTGCAGAGCACAAGGCCGTGTCCCCAAACCCTGCAGCCTTATCCCCCACAGGTCTGTCCTGCCCCGTGGATGCTGCCCCGGGGGTTAAGTTGTTCTGTGTCTTGTCGGTTTTGGTGCAGTCGGTACTGGGAGCTGGGGGGGTCCTGGACCCTTCCCCTTTCCCCTTTTCCCACCAGGGCCCAATAAAGCCTCACTCTGGGATTTGTAACCTCTTGTCTCCTCTGTGTCATGGATAACAGCGTGATGGAGGTGGGAAAAGGGTTGTTTGGAGGGGGGGTGTCTGTGTCCCCAGAGCACGGCAAGGGAGGGGATTCTTCCCCTCTGCTCTGGTGGGCAGAACTGCGTGTGGCTCTGTGTCCAGCTCTGCGGCAGCCACACAGGAGGGACGTGGAGCTGTCGGAGCGAGGCCAGAGGAGGCCATGGGGATGCTGTGAGTGCTGGAGCAGCTCTGCTCTGGAGCCAGGCTGAGAGAGCTGGGCTGGGGCAGCCTGGAGAAGGGAAGGCTCCTGAAGGGGAGACCTGAGAGCAGCTCCAGTGCCTGAAGGGGCTGCGGGAAAGCTGGAGAGGGGCCTGGGACAAGGGATGTAGGGACAGGCCAAGGGGAATGGCTTTAACCTGCCCGAGGGGAGACTGAGATGAGCTCTTAGGCAGAAGCTCTTCCCTGGACACCTCTGTCCCCCAGCCTGGGCGCGATGCGGCGGCTCCGCTGCGGGGTTTAAGGGGTTACAGCGGTGGGCGTGGTCATCAGCAAGGGGGCGTGGTCACCCCGGTCAGGCGGGCGGTGCCAAAGCTGGGGGCGTGGCCGGCGGCGGGCGGGCGGTGATTGGCGGTGCGGCGGGGCCGGGGCCGGGGCCGGGGCCGGGGGTACCGGTACCGCCGGGTGCCGGCGGTCGCACCGGGCGCGATGCGGCTGCTGCGGTGCCTCGGGCGGCGCGCGGCGCTCTCCGGCGTCCCCACCTACATCGAGCACTTCAGCAAGTTCTCGCCATCGCCGCTCTCCATGAAGCAGTTCCTGGATTTCGGTAAATACCGGGACACCCCCCCCCCCCCCTCCCGGCACGGTACCGGGGTGCACCCGCTCCTGAACCCGGCCAAGGGCCGTGAATCCCCGGTCGGGGGTGGGATCTCCGCGCCCCACCCCCTGGGAATGCACCACCCCTCCCGGTAAACAAACACCCGAGCTGGGGGTGTCGGTGCCTGGGAACACCCCCCCCCGATTCCCGGTTATTATTTACCGGGTGTTACCCCCTCCCCCCCCCCGGTGCTCCCCTCCGCTCCTTGTTGTCGTCCTGTTCCCTCCCCCTCCCCTCCGCGCTCATGGGTAAATAACCGGCGCTGGGATCACCACCCCTTTGCCCCCCCCTCTCAGTGGGGTGTTACCCCCACGGGCAAGCAACGGCCCCCCCCGCCCGTGATCCTCCGGGTAAATGCCCTCACCCCCGATAAATACCCCCCCCCCCCCCCCGAGGTGTCTCCTACCCCCACCGGTAAATAACCCCCTGTGTGGGACCCCCACCCGATGCTTCCCCCTCCGCAGCCCGTCTGCCCCCCCCCCAGCACTCCAAGGGGGGTGACACGGGGTCCCCCCTCAAGCCAGCCCCCCCAAATACCCGGCGGAGGGGGGAAATACCCCAACCGTCCCTGTCACCCATCGAGGGCCCCTCCTGTCCCCATTCCCCTCCCACCGGGGTTTAATGTCAGCGCTATATTTACCCACATCCCCCCCCCCCCGGCACCATCCTGGGCCGAGGCTGGTGTCTGCGCTCTGCGAGTCCTCACCCCCCCACCCCAGGTCTGCACCATCTCACCGACACCGGGCCCCCCATGTCCCTTGTCCCCGGGGACATGCCCCTACAGGGGCTCAGGGACAGATTTGCCCCCTGTCGTCCCCCCCCCCACCTCGCTGGCCACCGCATCCTGGCTGGACACTTCGGTGTGTCCCGGTGACAGCGGGTGTCTGTGACCAGCTCTGTTGGTGGCCCAGGTCCTTCTCCCCTCCCCATTGCCCTCAGGGGGGGTTCCAGTCACAGTCTGGGACATACTGGGCTGTACTGGTATCCCAGCCTGTCTTCTCCAGCCAGCTGAGCTGTGTCCCCCCCAGCCCCTCCAGTGTCCCCCTCCAGCCAAGAGCAGGACCTGCTGCTGGCTCTGCCCCAGTCCCCCCCCTCAGTGTTCCCCAGCAGGAGCAAAGCCAGCCCCGGGGCTCGGGGTCCCCAGCCAGGGCTCAGCCCGGTTTCCCCCCCTCCTTGCCCCCTCCAGGCTCCAGCAATGCCTGTGAGAAGACCTCCTTCGCCTTCCTGCGGCAGGAGCTGCCCGTCCGCCTCTCCAACATCATGAAGGAGATCAACCTGCTGCCGGACCGCGTCCTGCGCACCCCCTCGGTGCAGCTGGTGCAGAGCTGGTGAGACGGGGGGGCTGCCGCCCGTGGGGTCCCACCGCCAGCAGGACCCCCCCCATCCCACACCGCCTCGGCTGTGGAGGTGCCACCACCACCGTCTCCATGGGTCCTCCTGCCACTGCTGTAGCTCATGGGGGTCCCACCGCTGACCCTTCTGTTGTCACCCAGAGGGGTCCCACCGTGGATCCCAGCGTTGTCACCTCTATGGCTCCCCATCGGCACCCCAACTCCTGCCAGCGCCGTTGCCGGGGGGGGGGGTCCCACCACCCACCTGCGTGTCCCATCCCACCGCTGCCACCGGCTCTCCTCTGCACGCAGGGCTGGCAGGGCAGCACCCAGCTGGTGCCACGCCACATCCTTGGCTGACAAGGTGCCAGCGGGGTGCTCCAGGTCACCGGTGCCACCTCCGTGTCCTGCCCCAACCTCCTGCCCCCTAAAAGGGCCGAGGGGATGCACGTCCTCGGGGGGGGCTCCGCATGTCCCTTTAAGCACCGTGTCCCCCCCAGCGCCATGAACCTTCTCCCAGTGCCGCCACGTGACGAGTTGTTTGTGCAGCGTCCTCAGCTCCCCTCTTGCAGTGACTTCTCATTGTCCCCGTGCTGGAATGGTGGCCCCTGGGGACACAGCCCCTCCAGTGGGGCGGGGGGCTTGAGGGTCACTGGTGGGGGAACGTGAGGGCTGCAGGCTTGGACCCCCAACAAGCACAGGGTGGTTTAATGGGGCGACGGCGTTTTGCGGGGGTTTCCTGGTTGAGGGGGTCCTGAGCCCCTGTGGCTGAATGGGCAGTGCCCCAGAGCACCCTGTGCCCCCCTGGCGTGGGGTCCCCAGGGTGTCCCCTCTCTTTGGGGGGCATCAGGGTGGGAGGTAACCGGCTCCTTCCCCAGGTACGTCCAGAGCCTGCTGGACATCATGGAGTTCCTGGACAGGGACCCCGAGGACCAGGCCACCCTGGGGCAGTAAGTTGGGGTTAATACCCCTTGTCCTTGATTTTGGGGTGTCACCTGGCACCCTGCAGCATCCCCAAACTGTCCACACCCCACAGAGCATCCCGGAGCCACCAGCTCCTGGAGCTGGGCTGTGCGGGGACCTGGTGCCCTCCAGCTCCATCCCTTTGCCCTCCTCAGGTTCACAGATGCCCTGGTCACCATCCGCAACCGGCACAACGACGTGGTGCCCACCATGGCGCAGGGGGTCATCGAGTACAAGGAGGCCTATGGGGACGACCCCGTCTCCAACCAGAACATCCAGTACTTCCTTGACCGCTTCTACCTGAGCCGCATCTCCATCCGCATGCTCATCAACCAGCACAGTGAGCGCCGTGGGGACCCCACCTGCCCCTGGGGGTCCCCTGCCTCGAGCATCTCCATCAATCCTGGGCATCCCACCCCAGCCCTGAGCATGCCCCCTCTTCCCTCCCAGCCCCAGGGATCCTGTCCCGAGCATTTCCCTTTCCCTGATGTCTCCCTCAGGATCTGCCCCGAGCATCCCCCTGTCCCTAATGTGCCCTCTGGGGTACCCACTGCTCTCTGTCCCCCCCCAGCATTGCTCTTCGATGGTAGCACCAACCCCGCGCACCCCAAGCACATTGGGAGCATCGACCCCCATTGCAACGTGGTCAATGTGGTGAGAGGTCTGTGGGGACTGGGGGGGGCTTCCCCTGCGTGGGGGGACTAAACTGAGGGGAGGGGGTTGAAGGTCCCCCTCGTCTTCCCCTTGCCCAGGGCTCTGCCTGTTTGGGAGCCATTTGTGTCATGAGCTTGGGTGGGCCTCAGCCAAGGTGTCCCCTCTGCTTTGGGGTCACTCCAGAAGACCCCCAAAACATCCTGGATCTGGAATGGGATGGGGAGTGAAGGGGATCCCAAACGCGGCCCCAGCCTTCGTGCTGGGTGTGCTGACCCTTCTGCCTCTGCCTCCCAGATGCTTACAACATGGCCAAGCTCCTGTGTGACAAGTACTACATGTCCTCACCCGACCTGGAGATTGAGGAAGTGAACGGTGAGGCCAGGCTGGGGGGCGTCACCGTGGCAGGGGATTCTTGGGTGGCTTATTTGGGGTTGGGAAGGACGGCGCTCTCCTCTTCCCCGCAGCCAGCAACACCCAGCAGCCCATCAGCATCGTCTACGTCCCTTCGCACCTCTACCACATGCTCTTTGAGCTCTTCAAGGTAACCCCGGCCCCATAGCGTGGCGGTGAGGGGGAGCAGCAGGGAGGTTATGGAGGGGTCCCATAAACTGCTCTGTGCCTGCAGAATGCCATGAGAGCCACGGTGGAGAGCCACGAGAGCAGCCCGCGGCTGCCGGCCATCAAGGTGATGGTGGCCCTGGGTCAGGAGGACCTCTCCATCAAGGTACATCAGGGACCACCAGCTCCATCGCGGGGGGGGGGTCCCTGACCCCAGCCTGGGGACACTATGGGTGAGGGGCTGGAGCGGGGCTGTCACCCCCCCACCCTGTCCTGCAGATGAGCGACCGGGGCTTGGGCGTCCCGCTGCGGAAGATCGAGCGGCTCTTCAGCTACATGTACTCCACTGCTCCCACCCCGCAGCTGGGCACCGGGGCACCCACCGAGGGAACCCCCCTGGTAGGTGCCATGGGGACCCCAAAGGGACGGGGCACAGGGCGCAGGTCTGCAGAGCGGGGGTGGCACAGGGACTTCTGGAGGTGGCTTGGCCATGTGTGGGGATGCCTGGGGGGTGGCTTGAAGATGTTTGGAGGTGGCTTGGGGTGCCTGGGGGTGACATGGACATACTTTGGTGTGGCATGGGGACCTTTGGCTGCGCCTGAGAGTGGTGAGGTGACTATTGAAGGTCCCACATGGACACTTGAGGGTGCTCGCGTTGCTATTAGGGTGGTGGGGGGAGGCTTGGTGTCCCCTGGGGGTGCCCACCCTAGCTCTGGGGACCCCCCACCCCATCTCCTCCCTCCACCGCAGGCTGGATTTGGCTATGGCTTGCCCATCTCCCGCCTCTACGCCAAGTACTTCCAGGGGGACCTGCAGCTCTTCTCCATGGAGGGCTTCGGCACCGACGCCGTCATCTACCTAAAGGTGGGTCTTTCCCCTGGGACGGGGGGTCCGTGTCCTCCGGGGGCGCACGGGGCCCTCCTCATCCCCCCCCCCCCGTGTCTCCTGCAGGCCCTGTCCACAGACTCGGTGGAGCGGTTGCCGGTCTATAACAAGTCGGCGTGGCGGCACTACCAGCCCAGCCAGGAGGCAGGGGACTGGTCCGTGCCCAGCACCGAACCCAAGAACACCTCCACCTACCGCGTGCCCTAGGACCCCCTGCAGGCTCGCTGCCCCCCCCAGGCTGTAGATAGCCCCTCACCCAACTGCCGGGGACCCCCATAGCCCTGGGGTGGTGTTGTAGCATCCCAGTGCTTCCCCCCCTGCGGTGGTTGGGGCTCACTGGGAAGACTCTGAAATGTGGGGTGGAGGGGTCCCAGCACCCCCCTCCTGCCTTGGTGACTCTTAGGTACGTAGCTGGGGATGGTACTGGAGCAGCATGGAGGGGTTATAACCCCTGCTGCCCCACACGCACCCCCACACCTTGGCACCCACCCCAGGGCCAACAGGGGGCTGGTCCTTTCCCAGTATGACCAGTACTACTTCCCTGCCCGTCCAACCCTGACTGGGGGGGGGGGGAACTGGGCCTGACTTCCCCCCCCAGCTCCCAGGTATTGCACTACTGAGCTGCCCTCATCCACGTGTGCCCCCCCCGCACCCCCGGGTGGGTTCCCCCCCACCCGCTGTCAGTAAATTGGATGTTCACTGAGCTCCCAGTGTGGTGTTTTGGGGTGACCCCCCCCGCACACCCCCTTTGGTCGCTGCCTCAGTTTCCCCACCCAGGCTGGGGAGGGGGCTCTGGTGTCACCCCCCCCCCCCCCCCGGGGCTGGTGCCGGGGTTGCGGGAGCAGCAGCCCGGTTCCTCGCTGCTGTGTTTGCCCCCCCCTTACCCCGGCGCTACCCCCCGGACCCCCCCTTTCCACCGGGGACCCCGCGGCTCAAGCGGCGCCTGCAGCCACCGTCGCGCCCCCTCGCGGCTGCGAGCGGTACCGCGGCCCGGGGCCGTTGTACCCGCAGGGAGGGCTCGGCACGGACCCAAGTGACCAATCAGCGGCTGTCGGCGCCCGCGAAGGGGTGGGAGGGGGCGGAGGAGCAGCCAATAGCGAGGAGGGGCGGGGCGGGAGGGGGCGGTGCCGGCCCCCAGCCGAGGCAGAGCACCCCCGGGAGCTCCGCTGCGGCCCCATCCCCTGAGCAAGAGGGGCCGGGGCAGGGGCCGGGTGCGGGCATCACCTACGGGGCCCTCCGGAACAGCGGCCCCGCACGTAACGCGCCTGTGCGCTGCCACCTGAGCCTCCATCCCTGCCCTGCCCGGGCAGAGCGCGCTCTGCGGCACCTCCTTAAGGGAGAACATCCGAGCCCTGCTTTTAAAGCTGTAGTGCCGGGACAGAAGGGTTTTGCTGAGCACCATCTGCCCTCACTTTGCCACCTAAAACTCCATCTGTCCCTGTGCGTGGTGGTGGGGCTCCGGGGAGGTTCCGCTGCCCCTGTTCCCTGCTGTTGGGGGTACAGACCCTTCACAGGAGTCGGTTTCTAGCAATAAAAACTGTTCCTGCTTCTGCTGAGCCTGTCCCCGGAGCAGCTCGGCCCTTGGGGGCTGCTGCAGCGAAGGGGATGATGGGGTGGTCCTGGGGGCCAGGGTGAGATCTCCCACCCGTGGCTGGCCCTGGCCAGCAGCTGGACTGACATCGCAAAGGGATGCTGGGTTTAGACTCTTTCCTGTGCACTGAGTAGCATCAGCAGCACCCCTGGCTCGGGGGTCACCTGCAGTCGGTGTTTCTTGGGGTGTAGCTGCTGCTCCCGCAGCTGCATCCCTCACCCTAAGTCCTGTCCCTGTCAAATAAAGTCATGAAGCAGCTCCTGTGTGCTGTGTCTGCTGCTGTGCTGGATCTGCCCTGTGCGTCCTGCTGGGGCTGGGGGTGAATCCCACCGTCCATCTCCCCCCCACCCCGCCAGCTCCTCCCAGCAAAGACGTGACCAGCAGCACCCGTAGTGCCAAGGCTTTATTGCAGGAAGGGACGTGCACCGAGCGTGCTGGTGCTCTGCACGGCGCGGCCGCTACACGGCATCAGTCGAGTCCTCAGCGCTGCGGCGGCCAAAGTCCATCCAGTCGGGGTAGTAGAGGTCGTGCAGATCCTCCATCCCCTCGTAGCCCTTGCGGTCACGCAGCTCTGCCGAGGCAAGGGCAGCGGGGTTATTGCTGCCCCGGGCCGGGGGCTGGCACGGCGGTGCCGGGCTGTGCCTTACGGAGCCTCCCCCCGGAGCTGCCCCCCCCGCACCTCCCGGTACCTGTGAAGATGTGGGGCAGGAACCTGGAGATAAGGTGCTTCTGCTCCTGGGACAGCGCCTCCGGCCAGTCCCGCCGGACCAGGCTGCCTGGGGGCCGGGGGGGATCCCCCCCAGCGCCTGGGGCCTCTGCTGCAGGCCGGCACAGGCAGGCGGTGGCTGTGATGGTGAGGATGAGGCCGATGCAAACCTTCACCTTCATGGCTGGGGAGAGACTGAGTGGGGAAGGGGAGCAGAGGGGCTGTGGCCATGGGACAGGGGACACATGCTCAGCCTGTGGTGATCCATGCATGAAGCTCATCCCCAGGACATGGCCAGTTCACAAATCCCCTCTGTCCATCCCAGCAAGTTCCCTCCATCCCCCTGGCTGGTCCCCAAGTCTTCTCCATCCCTATCTCCCAGTTGGTCCCCCCCTAGAATGGACTCAAGTTGGAAGGGAGCCATAAGGATTGAGCCCAATGCCTTGTGCCTCACAGGATTACCTAAAACTAAACTGTATGACCAAGAGTGTTGTCCAGAGCTCCTTGAACACTGCCAGGCAGGGAGCAGGTGCTCGTCCCTGGAGCTTGGCCAGTCCCCACATCCCCTCCATCCCTCCCCTCTGGTCCCCACATCCCCTCCATCCCTCCCTTCTGGTCCCCACATCCCCTCCATCCCTCCCCTCTGGTCCCCACATCCCCTCCATCCCTCCCCTCTGGTCCCCACATTCCCTCCATCCCTCCCCTCTGGTCCCCACATCCCCTCCATCCCTCCCCTCTGGTCCCCACATCCCCTCCATCCCTCCCCTCTGGTCCCCACATCCCCTCCATCCCTCCCCTCTGGTCCCCACATCCCCTCCATCCCTCCCCTCTGGTCCCCACATCCCCTCCATCCCTCCCCTCTGGTCCCCACATCCCCTCCATCCCTCCCCTCTGGTCCCCACGTCCACCCCTGTTCCCAGCCCTCCGGGACTCACCTGCTGGCTCCGGGCTCAGCGATGCCTCAACCCAGGGCTCAGCTCTGCTTTTAAAGGCGCCGCCACCGCTGCCCCACCCTGGGGCAGCTCCGACCCCACCCGCAGAGCGCTGGGATGCACGGACAGCTGGACACACATGGAGGGTGTCTGTGTGTATTCACATACATGTATGTGTGTGCGTGTATATGTCTATATGGAGACTACAGGAGGCAGCTGGCAGTGGCTGTATGTATATGTGTATAAATGCCCAGCTCTTTATCCCTACCCTCTATCTCCAGCTTCGTATTTCATAGACACACCTGTATGAAACAGATCAATGTACACACACCCAGAGCCATGTATGTGTGCAGATACATATAAACATATAGGTACAGCTGTAGCTGTAGACGTGTATATGCAAACACACATGCCTAACATGCATACACATGTAAATATATACATGTGAATGCAGAGCTTGGCAGTGATATAGCCATATATACAGACACACACACATCCATACACATAGAGAGCTATACATGCACATATACAGCTGTAAGTATAGTGTACACATACAGAGAGAGGGATTTTCATATGTAGCCACAGAGGGACATACAGAAATAAGAGTCTCAGTGGAGCAAGCTACAGGGTACTTGGCTTGAATTGCACGTATGCGTACAGAAAAGTATAGGTAGTGCTAAACATGCACACCCCATATGTGTATATTTATATATATATACTTAGAAATGCTTAGAGCCCTACTTACACATACACAGAGCGCTATATATATACATACATGCACATACATGCAGGTATTTATGCATGCAGATGGATACACAACTAGTTACAATCTATAGGAGTAGATGCAGCTGGCCAGATGTGCTGCAGGGAGCTGCTGTGCCCAGCCACATGCTGCAAAGAGGCCCCTTTCTGCAGCCTCTATCTCTCCTGTTACCCCAAAACGCTTTGGGGTGCTCTGGGACGGGCGGGCCTGTTGCTGTGGGGACACACCGTGCACCCCAGGGCTCGCTAACGCGTCACCCCTGCATCCCGTATCCAGCCCATCTGCTGCCACCAGCTCTTTCAATATCGACAGCTCCCCTGGCCCCCATTTACCCTCAACTCATCGATTTGTGGAGAACATTTGTCTCCCTCCTTCAATAACACCCGTGGAGCGAGGAACCGGGTGCTCTTCACTGCCGGCGCTCGCCGTGCCGCTATCGGTGCTCCTCAAACAACCCCAAAACAAATGGGCTTTGAATGGGCAGGAAGGCAGCAGCGCCCCAGCCCCACGCGATCGATTCCTCGCTCCAAGGAGCGGTTTTTACAAGGAACAAACAAATTGGTTTGCAATTTCTGGCTTTTAATGGCTCAATCTGGGCCAAATGAGCCATCAGGGTCACTGGGACGCAGCGGCTGCTTCCTCCAGTGCCGTGGGCTCGGCAGCGCCTTGACGCAGGTTTGCAGCCTGACGCTGGGGTGCTGCTCCCTTCTCCCAGCCCTGGGTGCACGCTGACGGGACGGGCGCAGGGAAACAGGGTGGTGGCAGCACCCTTGCCACGGCCCAGCCGGGTCTGGCTCTCTTGGGCCACACTGGGCCAAGCTGATGCCTTCCTCTTGCATCTGGAAGCCTGTGAGAGCTGCTGGGAGAGCCCCACTGGATGCACGCAGGTGCAGGCAGGGAAGTGGAATTTCTGGAGCAGAAGCTGCCGGCACGTACACACAGCCCAGCACGAGGTGCAGGCAGGGCTCCAGGTCACCTCCTTCCTCAGTGGATTCAGAGGAGCTTTGCATAATTGTGGCAATTTGGCTTCCAAGAGCAAAGTCTCTTAGGGAAGTAAATGGCATGAGGTGAACCTGGTGCTCCACTGCAGCACAGGGAGCAGGGCTGGAAAACCAGGATCACTGCAGGCAGTGAGCAAACACAACTCAGTTCTTCGAAAGCTGACCAGAGGTACAAAGCTGCTCCCAGGCAGGTCCCCATTTCTGCCACTATACAAGGGGCAAGTGGCCCTCACGGCAGTAGTTTGTCAGTGCTGGAAGCACAAGCGCCCAGCACACAGGAACCCAACAAGCAGCAGACCAGGTGCCCTTGCAGGGAGGGAATGAATCCACACAGGAGCCACAGCACCCAGGGTGCTCCCCTTCCCACAGGAAACACTCCCAGGACCCCAGCACTGCTTCCTGCAGCAAGAGGGAAGTCCACTGAGCTCCCAAGAGCACAGCCAGCATTGCTGCTCACCTGGCTCCAGCGAGTGAGGGAATCCAGCAAGCAACTGCTTTTGAAAACCATTTTTATTTAAATAAGGCTTTAAATACATTACATAAAACATTAAAAGAGAAACCAGGATTCTGTTACTTCACAGGGCATTAGGCCATGGTTGCTA